CCGATTCACCGCCTCGACCAGCGGCCGGCGATGAGGGGGGTATTGTCAGACTTGACCTGTGACAGTGATGGGAAGATCGACAAGTTCATTGGCGGCGAGTCTAGCTTGCCGCTGCATGAGCTGGAAGGCAATGGTGGGAATAATGGCGGTGGGCAAAAGTACTATTTAGGGATGTTCTTGGGCGGGGCTTATCAGGAGGCGCTCGGAGGAGTCCACAACCTCTTCGGTGGCCCGAGCATTGTTCGGGTCTCGCAGAGCGACGGTCCCCACAGCTTTGCAGTGACGCGGGCTGTGCCAGGGCCGTCGTGTGGGGACGTCCTGCGGGTGATGCAGCATGAGCCCGAGCTCATGTTTGAGACGCTGAAGCACCGCGCGGAGGAGTGCGGGCAGGGCGATGATGGGGGCATGGCGAGTGCGGCTGTGGCCACCAGCCTCGCCGGGTCCTTCCACAACATGCCGTATCTGGTGACAGCTTCTTCTTGTAGCATGAGTGCAATGAATAACCATGGGTTCTACTATTGCAGCGAGGATGATTACGACGGTGTTGTTTCGGATTCGACGGGGACTGCTGCTTCTGCTTGTGAGGAGGAACAGTGGTCTTATTGCTGTGCTTAAGAAGTCTCAAACATCCCTTTAGTTTGATGTCGGTGTGTCTGCTGGGGCCGTCTGTTTTTAAAATTTAGTTTTAATCTTTTTGTTTTGGTTTTAATCCTGCATGAAGAGCAAGAAAGTCCTTTGTAATTTGTGGCAAAAAAGTTGGGGGAATTGGGAGCCGAATTCGCCCTTTTGTAAATTGAGGGGCTTATTCCCCTCTTCCTATGTTTTCTTAGTAGTCAAATATTTTTGCTTTTTAAGATATTATTGTTTTCCAACCAAATCTTAATTTTTGCCTTTTGTTCCCCCTTTGCATGGTACTCATCATGTTCTCGATTGCTTTCTTTCTTTGCATGTTAGGTCAGTTAACCAAAATAGTGTTCTCGAATTTGAATTCTTTTGTTAGCTTAGAATGCTTCGCAATTAGAGCTGACAAATCAACTTATTGAATTGGTAAGCTCCGTTAAATTTGATATCAAATTAAATGGATCTTAATGATTATCCATTAATAACCCGATAGGTTGATCTGCCACTTCTACTCACAATTATGCCTTGATTAAAATTAAATTTGGGATCTTGGGGGGAGGGACTTTGTGGGCGATTTGGTTTGGGTATTGTTTAAGTGTTACTACGTTTTCTTTCCAAAGCTAGTGACGGCGTTCTTTTGATTACCCTTTTTTCTTTATTCAAATTTGCGTTCTTTAACATATATATATATTTATATTTATAAAAACCACCTGTTCTAATTAAATTTCCTTCATTCTTATATTAGTCATTCTTTAATATATTAGGTCAGTTACCAATTTCTTGTAAATTAGAATAATTTAGAACAATGTGAATGTGGAATTATTTGGTAGGGCCTCTTGTGGCGGTTTGGTTTGGGTAGTGTTGAAGTCTTTGATAAAGAAAAATGAAATGGAATGGGGTCGGTGTGTTTAGAAAAGGGTTGGACAAGGAGATTCTGAGATCATGGGTAGTTGTGGGGTCTGCTGTGTGTTTAGTTTCTGTCTTTTTTGGGTGCCTGCCAATCATTTTGCTTGATTTTGCCTTAAATCGGAGAACATGGAACAGGATCACCGTCAATGTGATATTTTTGACATTACTTTATTGGACTAAAACTTCTTGTGATAATGAACCAGTTTTATGTAAGGCCTTCTGCATCAATTGAAAAGTTTCTGTCGAATAATGAATGAATAATGGTTGTTTTAAGGGTTGGGTTTAGTTCGGAAATCGAATCCAAACTCTGATCTGGAAAATCGAACTGAAAATTTCAGTTTGAGAAAATTACATACTGAAATCGAATCAAAATTTTCAGGATCCCGAAATTTGATTTAGGAGAAATAAGGGTCTGGTGGCGGTACAAGGATGGTGTCGATCGAAAACTGGAGTGGACGGAGTGGTGATGGCCGGGTGGCCGTGTAGAACGAGACGAAAGGAGTCTTCTATTCAAAACAATGGTTGACAAATAATCTCAACCAATCTGACGGTTAGTATTATTTAGGTTATAGACATATTAATAACAAAACTTAAATATACAAATAGATATAATATTTTAATATTTGGTTCGGATCGGTATATTGAAAATACGGCTCATGCGGTCCAGTACCGAATTATTGGAATTTTTCAGTATCGGTTCCCATTATTTTCAAGATTTTCTGTTTCGTTTTATTAGGTAGTCGTTTCGAGATTTTTCGAGTCTGAATTTGGGTACAAAAATTCCAGCCCTAGTTGTTTTATTCAAATTTAATATACACATCCTATAGAAATGGTGAATGCTTCCATGACCACAATTTTGTGGGCCTGTGGCATAGGCTTGTAGCATCAAGTCTCGAGACATGCTGTGGTCAAGATTGGCTGTGACACATGTTATATGCAAAGACTACAGATGCACGAAAACTACATATTCAAGTAGGAAACTTGGAAACTCAACAACTATGTAATGTATGACTAGTTAAACCTGTGCTCGAAGTTTTGTGTTTGATTTCTCCCTCTTGTTACATCATTTGTATCCAACAAAAAAATACAAAACAAGTATAGATGGCGATTTGAAATGAAGGAGGATAAGAGAGCTAGTGACGTGAGCGAGTGACTGCAGAATTTTAATTATCATCGACTAGTAACTAAAGTTAATGCCTTGTACGTGATAGGGACAATTAAAACTATCTTGTATTTTAATCTGTATTTGCTTTTCGAGAAGTTGGATGAAGGGTTGGAGATGCTTTGTGTAAAAAGCTACTGATACATTTGTATCTTGTACCTGCAATTGATATTTTGTTTTCTTTTTTTTCTAGTCAATTGATATTCCGTTGATGGTGGTTTGAAACGGGATTTTGGGGATGGAATATTCATAATGCAGCTTGGAACTAAGTGCAGAAGATCCTTGATGATATTTTGTACCCTCTAAGCGATCTTCTATAGATCTCCTTGTCTGTTGATTCCCTCAATTATGATCTCGCTAAATTTTTTAATGTCGATCGATTGATCCCTGCAAGTTTTCTTGGAGCGATTTTTCACAAATTTTGGTAATTTGTTGAGAAGTATATTACCAACTGTGAATGCAAATTTCCATCTTCTTTTTGGACGAAAATGTATCTGCAAAACAATTAACACCTAAGATCAAGGCCAAAAACATCACACGTCCAGGATGAATGGGGAGGGCCGAAAAGTCTCTGATGTCAAAGCTAGAATTTGAGAGAGAAAGTGTTTAGAGAATTTTAGGAGAAGAATGGACTTAGGTTTTGGAGAAAATGAGTGGTTATACATAGAGTTGTGGCCGGTCCTATTAGGAGAATTGGGACCGGCCACATTTGGTTGATTTGTGGGATTGATTGCAAGATATTATTTCAATTAGTTTGGCAATTAATCCTAATTTGAAAAAGATGATTGTGAGTTACCTTGTGGGTGAGTATTTGATGAAGAGTGAAGAGAGGTTTAAAAGAATACCATTTTGATCACCTTTGACCTTGATTGAGCCGTTATTGTCCGTTGCGTGCACGTGGGAATCCGGTGTGCCTCGAGGGTAATTTTGTCTTCTTTACCCGAAAGTCCACGTGTCGCCTCCTGATTTTCTTGATTATTTTTGGCTCCACAAATGCCCCCACACCTGTTGGGTTGCTCGTAGGAATTGGCAGCAGGTGTAGAGATCTCCAACTTTGACGCAGATTCCCACTTAGACTTAGAATTAGATTCATCTAGGAAAATGAAATAAATCATCTCCAAAACCTATTTAAGCCTACCTCAAGTAGGGGATTAAATCAACTTTGGAGGGCAATTATTTATCTTTACAAGAAAGAGAGAAAGCTAGAGGATATTTGTTCCCCCTCCCCTAGCACTCTTCTTTACTTACCTGTGCAAAGAACCATCTTCCGTTGATTTCTTTGTCTTCTCCGCGCCGCACCAATGTAAGAAAATTTTAATTTTCTTTGTCTTCTTTTTGGGTGGTGTTGCCACGGGGCAACCGTCGAGGTGGTGCAGCATGTAGGCTCGCAAAGGCCAGGAGCCGGCTTGGCATGGGTCGAGGAGATGGTATGGTAGGGCCCACAGCTTATGCTACTCGGCTTGACTGAAGCCAAAGGCTGGCTTAGCATGGGCTGAGGAAATGGAGTGGCATGGGCCATGGTTTGGGCTACCACGTCTGGGTTGCTTACCAAAAATGAGGAAACTGCTTAAGTTTGATTTATTAGATGTCATAGATAGAGCAATCAAGGATGAAGTTGCCAAGATCGGAGCTGCTAAAGATGAAGTGAGTGCGAAGTAGCTCCTGCCTCCTGACCATTTACTGCTTAGCTGGTCTTCAAGTATTCGATCTTTTGAGCTGTGTAGCCTTCTTACACAGGAGAGTTTACCCAAATGGATGTTGGGGAATTGGTTTATCCTCTCGCGTTGGAGAGCTTACCCAGATAGGTGTCGGGGAATTAGTTTACCCTCTCACACCGGAGTGCTATTAGTTTAACCTTTCACACTGAAGAGCAGACCCATATAGGTGTTAGGGAATTGGTTTACCTTCTCGCACTGGAGAGCAAATATGGGTGTCGAGGAATTGGTTTACCCTCTCGCATTGGAGAGTAATTAGTTTATCCTCTTGCACTGGAAAGCAAATCCATATGGGTGTCGGAGAATTGGTTTACCCTCTCGCACTGGAAAGCAATTAGTTTATCCTCTCATATTGGAGAACAGACCCATATGAAGGTTTGAGCAATTATTGTAGACAACAGTTGAACCAGGCTTATAAATAACTTCTTGAAACTTCATTGAGAATAAAGAAATTGATCAATTGTGCTGGAAGGTAGAAACTGCATAACAAACTGGATAATCTTTGGCTTGCAAAGTCTTATTCATCGAGCTACTTGAGACTTCAAACTTATTTAGAAAAGCCCTAACGAGGCTCAAGGGGGTGATGGAGACTTCTATGCTTGTGTAGGCTGTGTCGTTGACCTGTCAAGATACTTGTCGCACCGGCCTTCATTTGTCAACTTCTCAAGGCACTGCTTCCACTTATGGCAGCCGTTGGTAGTGTGGTCTGGTCCTTGATGGAATGCGCAGTACTTTGTCTGATCTAGCCTGGTAAAATCACCCTTCATGGATGGTGGTAGTTCAAACCAAGGTTCGTTCTTGAGCTTACGGAGAAATTTGGCCGATAGAACTGTGAACTTGGTGAATGTTTCAGGTGCTGAGTCTTCTCTAGTCGGGGAATGTTCTATATGCTTCTTTTCTGACTCGATTTTGTTAGAATGCTTGGCCTCATCCCATAGTGCGTGCTTCTCCACCAAAGCATACGAAGCTATCAGGGTCAATTCTTTTCCCATGATCAATTTTTCGAATAAAGGGTGTTCGGTGGAAAGCCTATTTCTAAATGCTGCCGTTGTTATGTCTTCGTTGTAGCCAACAATCTTGGCCTTCTCCACCTTGAACCTCTTGACATAGTCACGAATTGTCTCCCAATGGTCTTTTACGATGTTGAAGAGATGGTCGGATGTCCTTTTGATTGAGCGGTTTGACGAATACTCCTTAGTGAAAACTAAGGAAAGTTCATTGAAACTTCAGATTGACTACAGCGATAGGGTGCGAAACCAGTCTTGTGCCTCGCCTTGTAGAGTTGTGGCAAATATTTTGCACATAAACATGTCGTTGTTCTTGTAGAGGATCATGATACTGCAGTAGTGCTTGAGATGTCGATCTAGATCTTCGTCTCTCTTATACGGAATGAAGTGAGGCATAATGAACCTGCAAGGTGGATTTTTCCGCTCGATCTCATCCGTGAAAGGTAACCTACTTATGTTGGTCATGTCTCATCAAAGCGCATTGTCAGTAGCCTCATTGCGTTGGAAATTGTGCAATCGTTTAGTTAAGAGCCTCTCAACCTCTTCTTGAATTTGCCTCTGCTGGGGCAGTGGAACTAATGGCTGCTCGCGGTCATGACCTATTGGTCTGGGCCACTCTTTTCTATGCTCGACTAGTCTATGCCGTGGTTGCGGTGCATGTGACACGTTCCTAGAAAACGAGCAGGCTGTTTGCAAGCTGCCGGTTGAACTTAAGCAGTTTGAGTGACTGCTTCTCTTCGTCCGCCATGTTGCCTACCCCGATGTAAGGTGGAGAATGCTCCTTGCTAGCCTAGTTGATGAGGAGTGATGAAAGGGTTTAAAAGAATACCATTTTGATCACCTTTGAGCTCGCGATTGAGTCGTTATTGTCCGTTGCGTGTGCGTGGGAATCCCAGTGTGCCTCAAGGTTAATTTTGTCTTCTTAACCCAAAAGTCCACGTGTTGCCTCCGTGATTTTCTTGATTATTTTTGGCTCCACACCAACCACATTGGAAATAAGAATACTTGGGTTTATTAGCATGTTAGTGTGATTTTTAAATTAAGAAACTGTTTCCTATCAAATTAATTTAATGGAAGGGAATCTGAACAAACAAGATACAACAAGAAAGAGCATATCAGCTCTGAAGAAGATCCAAACATAGATTCTTGAGCCGGTATTTTCTAGCATGACGAATTATTTTCGCAGAGAATTAGTCTTTTACTGTTGTACGCATGAACTGCTTTCGTTTATTTCGAATTTTCTTGTCAATGGATACATGATTTGATCTATAAGATTGTGATAGTTTTCTGAGAAGAGATTGCTATCTATGTTATGTAGTTACATTTGCTGATTTGCTTAATGGAGAAGTACGAACTCAAATAATTTGACAGCAGATTCGCTTTCACTTGCTGTTTTGATGCCACGAGATGGAACACAAGATAATACTACAGATTGGGGATAGAAAGACTAAAGCGCAAGCAAGCAATACTAACGAACGTGGACCGGGAAGACCATCTGTGGAGAGAATATAAAACTGTGGGATTTGCAAGGTACACGTTCAAGAAAGGAATGGTGCAGTAGATGCAATTTCCTTTTTGTTAATTTGATTGTTACTTCGGACCACTAGGCATCGAGTCTTGCTTTCATGGTGTTTCGTAACTTTGGTATGCAATTATTTGTGGTACCAATGCTTGGGTAGCGTGACACCTTGAATAGGAATAAGGACTACTTCCACAGTGAACCAGTGTCACGACATAAAGTTTTGGCTAGCCTTTATGACTTGGATGTCTTTTATCTGCAATGATGAGGTACAAAGAATTCGCCCAATTACTAGAGTTCAGAATATATGTAGCAGGAAAATATGCACACGATATTCTTGTCCGCGTTCATTTCTAATAGATTGCCATAACGTCTATTTAGATGTAAAAACTTTGGTTGTAAGGAATAATATGGCTCGCACTGACGTCGGGTCAGACTAACTTTCAGTTGTGCTGTCTTATGCAGAAAGACGATCGCTTACATATGCAAGTTCATCCAATTACAATGGCAAATTCTATCTACTAAATGAGTGCTTCGTGTTAGGGAACAAAACACGCAGATACGTAACATTTATGCTTTTTTTTTTTTTTTTTAAATTATGGAAGGTGGATGAAGGATTGTAGATGCTGGTATAACAATAAGTGACTTCTGCGAAAACAACCGATCGTGCCCTCATACTTTGTAGGGGGATTTGATATTCTGTTCATGCTGGCTCGCACTTCGCAGGTGGACTAATTTTCATGGAATATACATAGTGCAGGCTTTGTGGAACAAAGTGAAGATCCTTCATGATATATAATTTGTGCAGCTCCAATTCACAATCAAGAAAGTAACCGACGCGAACATGTACAGTTTAGTTGCTAGTCGATTTCCTATATATCGATCTTGTTGACATTGAAATTATCAAGAATCTCATCAAGATAATTTTGTTTTTGAATGGAAAGGAATCTGAACAGAAAGATAGAACGAACAGTGGCGAATGAGCATATTCAGCTGCTTAGAAGATTCACAGAGAGCGCTGGACCAATCTACTTCTCACAGGACAGAATATAAATAAGGCTTTCTACTGCTGTGGACATAGATGCTTTGCTTGTCAACTTTAATGCATGATCTGATCAACACCTTTCTTAAATGGCCTCAAGCTGCAGGGTCAGCTTAAGCATTTGGTGATAAAGTGGCTTTTGTTCTTTCTTCTGGGTGGATTCTACTTTTAGTATTACTTTACTTCTTAAAACCTGTATTGAATCTGCTGGTGTCGATTGGAACATTCACTGATATGAATACAAGTGTTGAGAAGATATTATTTTTTTAGAGAACAAAGTTTGGCTCTTCTTAACTACAAATCACAAACTAACACATATGCTGAAATGATTTAAAACAATAACAAAGGAAAAAAGTTTTTTACACGTGTGAACTGTAATTTATTTGTACAGGATTCCTTTAATATAAGGAGCCAAGTATTTTCTTTTCTAATCAAAATTCTTTTGTTGGTTAATTATATACTGACTTCTCATTTAACTTTTGATGGAGACGCACGAACTGAATGAATTTGAGTGTTACACGACATTGCACTAATTAGTAGATTGAGTAGGAAAAATATAAAAAGAAATAAAAAGCAGCAAACAGAACCAGAAAAAGAATAAATAAGGTTATCCTCGAAAACAAGATTTTTCAGTGTCCCATGAACAACGGGCAAAACACCACATGTCATTATATAATTGGAGGGTCTCTTGAAAAACAAAAACTTCCCTCCAATTGTATAATAACATATGGTGTACCGTCTCATGTTTCAGGCACACTGAAAAATCTCTCCTAAAAGACCAATCTTGGACTTGGTAAAAGAATCAAAGAGGAAGGGGTTGTGGAGAGCCAAAAGATAGGGCAAACCTCTTTGTAGCAACTAGCAACTCAACCTGCTTGTTAAGATATTAGCATATTGTACACAAGCCATGTTCAAGTTGCAATTAGATTTTTGTTATCTGGATTCTGGACTGTTTACTGAGGATCACAAGACAGTGTGTCCAAGTTTTCTTGGCGTTTCTCATGTTTCTTACCCTATTTGATTCAAAGCTCACGATTCGTAGTTATCTCACACCTTCTTGGAAATTGAAGCATTCAGATTGATGCCTTGATGGCCTTACATCTTAGATAGGATTAGAGATTTACCATGGTGAAACTGAGTCATGATATCGTCAAATGTTTTGGCATAACATTGCCCAACTTGGATGTTCCTTCCCTTTTGTTCCCTTAGCCGTGCTATGTGGCGTGGAGCAACAAAGTAACTTATGTCGTACTAGCTAGCCCACGGCACTGAGGTGTGTCGTGACAATGACATAATGCGATGTGTACAAAAATTTGTATATGTCTTTAAAATATTGAAACAGGAAGCTACGGTCACTGGTGTACATGTATCATATAAGCCCTTCTCATGAACCAACATATTTAGAAAGAAAAATACTCTTATTAGGAATGAAGAATTATAGTTTTGAAATGTCAATAATAATTCCTATAAATAAATAGATAGATAGTATTTACAAAAGTACTAATCAAAACATCGTAATGTATTATATCCAAGTAATGAAAATTAATAAAAAACCATATGAGTGGATAATATTACCTATTCACAATAATTATAATTGTACCCAACAAATTTTGTGACGACCCATCCCTACTTTTCACTGTAATTTCTTTTCCGTTGGTGTGAGTTGACGATTTTACCCCTTTTTGGACAAAAGTGGAATCTGACGTGGACATGGTTTTTGGCTTTCAGTTTCATTTTCCTGGTTTCATACTAAATTAGTACTCGTTGTTACGATCACGTGAGTTAGACTCAAATTGGATCCGTAACGAAGAAGTTATGCCCCATTAAAGTACGTTAATTATGGGTATTTTTGTACATGCGCATACAAATTTATCAGTGCTTGAAACACTATAGGGAGGCAGATTTTGTACATTAAAAATTGTACAAAATCCACCAATCCCTTCCTTAATTGGTGTATCTGGTTCCCTTCACCAATCAAATCCCTCCAATCCCTCTAATCTCTCTCCACCACTCACATCTCTTCCCTCACTAATCAGAAAGCAACTCTCACTCTCTCTCTTCTCCCTCTTTCTCTTCCCGAACTCTCTTTCTCTCTGCAACAAGGATGAACCACCCTCAAACCTCATCAACGTGACCTTAAAACCATACCTTCGAACTCGTCTCACCACCACAGACACAACCATACCCTTGGATCGTGGTTTGATCGAGTTTTGGACGTCGAACTCGGAAGGTCCGACTCGGCATAGTTTTTCCCGATGAGTTATAAGTTTTTAGAAATTCTAAAGGCCTCCACTCAACTCTCCGAGGTCTCTTATGAAGGTTTGAAGGAGAAACAACCTCGAGACACAAGGTTTCGAGAAGTCGGAGTTTCGACCGTGTCTTTCGAGCCATTTTCAAGCCACCTCCGTCTATTTTTTGGACCTCCAAAAGGTATAATCGTGTTCTTCTCTTCATAAGCTTCATTTCCATATAAAGTTTGTGAAAAATGATTGAGAAATGAAGAAAATATGAAGGTTTGCAATTTTACCCAGAAACCAGCGACTTTTTCCAGATTTCGGGAACCAAACGATGACGACCGGAGAAGACAACGGAATATTCATCAACTCTGACGGAATATTCTAATGGCATCAGGTAATACCGTTAACTTTTGTTAAGATTTTAACGGAATATTCCTAACGTCGTTAGTCACACGGACCGCACGTGCTACGTGTGGTCGGCACATGAGGGAGCGTTCGGTGTCCAAAAATTATTTTGAAAATTTATGTAGGTCCGTGACATCAAGTAGATTGATTTTGTATATCAAACCCTATGTTTGAGCAATCTACAAAGGTTTTATTTAAGTTTCCGTATATATGTTATTAAATCAATTAAATTAGTAAATTCGCATATAGGGGAAACGTATTC